ATAGATAGATAGATAGATAGATAGATAGATAGATAGATAGATAGATAGATAGATAGATTCAAAAACAACTAAATTGAGTTGCCCTGTAATGCGTAACTTCTGAAATAAAAGTCACGACCCACCGCTGGATCCCTGACTAAAATTAACAAGGCTAATTGCAGTTTCTTGTTTGTTTGTTTAGTTACTGGTGTGCAAGGCCCACATGGAGCTCCAGGAGAACCAGGTGAGCAGGGACTACCTGGCCCTGCAGGAAGATGCAATCCAGAAGATTGCTATTACAAAGTTTCTCAAAGTCAGTCCCGGACAATTGGGAAATGAACAGCTATTTTGGATATATTTTAATTCCTCAGTTATCTTTTCCTCACTTCTTCCCCCATCCCCTTATCAAATTTTGAAATTTAAGTTTTAAACTATTGGTGAATTTCTGTCTGTCTATTTTACACAGCATCTCAATGGAACATTTCGTGTCCAGATTAAGCCAATACTGAGATGTTGTTTTCTTGAGTTCATTCCATATATTTATACTTTTAATGTATTTTTCTTTAGCAAAATGTGCATCATGATGGCCTGTTGACCTCTTAATGGTTTTTTAGTTTATGAGGGTTTTTTTTAATGTTTCTTACTTTTACCTTTAACACAGAAGCCATATTTAGTTTTATTTTGTTGGATGTCTCCTTGCAGTTCAATCTATTAAATGGCAAATATAGCTTATAATATGGTACAATCTTGAAGTTTTTCTAAAGGTTTGGTTAAAAATCTAAGTAGTGACTGGCATTTTCCTTGCTCCTGTCACCATAATGCAATATGGTAAGATCTGAAAGGCTTTTTTGAATTGTGTCTACGTTTCTAAATGACCTAAAAGACTTTTGAGTAAGGTTACTGTATTCGGGCTGCAAATTTGGAACAACTACAAGACAGTAGCAAAGTGATACAGAAAACTCTAAGTCTAGCAATACTCTAGGTATTACAGATAAGAGCTAACATTCTTACTTCTGAGTCCCTCTCCCATTACTTGTTACTCAGGGAAAAATATTGTAAATTCAGAAAGCACATAAGTAAACTATGGCTTCAGTTATATACTCACATTGTAGAAGCGAGTTGTAAGCATGTTTTTTAGATTTTCCTCCCTATAAGAAACTGCTTGTAGGATTTTCCCTGCATATGTGAAAAAGAGCCTGATTATTAGAAACTAGTTTAGCTCTCAGCGGGATTGCTGGTAATAACTTGTCCTAGTTAAAATATACATTTGCAAGTTAGCTTATATTCTACAGGATGATTATAGTAATTATAATACTGTGCAAATCCAATCATAGTATCTATAGTCTATAGTCCTGTCAGCTCCACTTGATAGACTAGACCAGGAAATCAATGCCACAAGAAGCCTGGAAGTATTATTTTATTTTTATTTATATATTTATTTGATTTGTCAATCGCTTATAAGATAATAGGTATAAGTATAAACATGAGTAAAAATACAGGAAATAGGTATGAATAAATGGGGACAATAGGACAAGGATGGGAGGCACAATGATGCACTTATGCATGCCCCTTAGTAATCTCACTTTGTTTTTTCATATAACTTTATTTTAAAAAAAATTAAAGGTAGTAAAAATTTTAAAAAGTAGTAGTAGTTTTTGTTGAAGTTAGCTACAGCAACAGAATTTTTGGGTTTGATTCAGCTCTATCTTTCCTCCCCCCTACCCTCACCAAATCAGGGAGGTGTTTGCTTAATCAGCTTTTAACTACTATCTTGTTTTCCAGAACTTTAAAAAAAATGTTTCAGTCCCCTTTGCTTAGGCTATGGTTTTTGCATATTTCTACTATGGTCATTTTTCTTATTCTCCACAAATCCTTCATCAGGACATTTCATTGCCTCCAGCCAACATTGCAAGTGTCCTGCTTTTTATAGACAATAGAGTATTGTTCAGTACTATACACCTAGAGAACAAAAGAGTATAGAAGATTGCACAAATGTAATGAATTTTCAAGGTTTATTGTAAGACAATCAGGACTTTAGCTCGGATAAAATTCTGACAGACTCGACAGAGAATTTCTGCAAGTAGCTGTAGTTTGGAAAGAAGCATCTATCATCTTACATCTTGATCAGCGATATTTGTTGGACTCATTGTTTTGTTGGGTGGGGAAGGAGAAAAGATGTTCAGAAGAGTAGTCAAACATCAGCAAACCCACTGAGCTCATATATATTGACATAAGATAGACTAGTTGGCAGTATAAACAACCTTTATCTGAAAAATTCAGGGATTGAAGCAGATTCCGATTTCATTTATCTTGAGGAGAAATGATTGTATAAAGTGAAGTTAAATAAAACTGTTCGGCAGAGATATATAGTAGCATTAGATAATGAATATAAAACTCTAGGTGAAATATTCGATCTAATTCTTTTACAAATTTATAATGAAGTACTTTCAGGGGCAAGGCTACTAACGTCGTGGAGAGAAGCGTATATTACATTAATACCAAAAGAGGGTGCAGATACCACCTACATAAAAAATTATAGACCAATCTCTTTATTGAATGCCGATTATAAAATATTCATGAGCATAATGGCCAATAGATTGAAAAAAATATTGAGTAGAAACATACATCCAGATCAAAAAGGTTTCCTACCAACAAGGCAAATAAAAAACAATACAAGGACAGTATTAGACGTCTTGGAGTACTATGAGGTACATCCAGAAAAACAAATTGCATTAGTTTTTCAGGATGCTCAAAAAGCCTTTGATAAAGTAAACTGGCAATTTATGATGCAACAAGTAAAGTAAATTTGAAAAAATGTTAGGGTCAATATACTCAAATCAAAAAGCACGTATAATAATTAATGGAGAAACCACAAATTCCTTTGAGATAGGAAAAGGAGTCAGGCAGGGATGTCAACTTTCACCACTGCTCTTTATCATGACACTAGAAATTTTGTTGAGGAGAATTAGGCTGAATTTGGAAATAAAAGAATTAAACAAGAGGAATACAAGGTACAAGCTTTTGCAGACAACCTTGTATTCTTCATAGAAGAACTAATAAAACCAGGGCCAAATTTAATTAAAGAGATAGAGTGATATGGAGAAGTAGCAGGTTTAACAATTAACAAAGATAAAACCAAAATGATAACAAAAAATTTAACAGAGAATCAAAAAAAGAAATTAGTAGAAGTAATGGCTGTACAAATTGTTAAAAAAAATCAAATATTTGGGAATCTGGCTCACAGCAAGATGTTCAACAATAAAAGAAGATAATTTTGTAAAATTGGTACAAGCAATAAAAAGGGACTTAGAAAAATGGGGGAAAATACAATTATCAATGTTAGGGAGAATCGCAACCATCAAAATGAACATCCTGCCAAAACTACTATTTCTTTTTCAAACTATCCCAGTAAAATTGGACAATTTTTTTTAATGAACTAAATAAAATTACCTCAAAATTCATTTGGACAGGAAAAAGGGTGAGAATAAAACTAAGCACATTACAAGGTAATAGATGCAGAGGTGGATTTGGACTCCCCGCCTGAGAACTATATTATAAAGCAACAGCATTACCGTGGGTTAAAGAATGGGCCAATCTGAGGAACAAAAGAATTGTAACTTTAGAAAGGCATGACTTGCAGGCGGGGTGGCATGCCTTCATGTGGAACCTGGAAACAAGATCTACTCTTACTTTAATAGACATGTAATTCAAAATTCATTAATGAAGATTTGGAAAGAGATCAATCATAGACATTATATGAAGATTCCAGAGTAGGTATCCATCATGGAGGCATTGATCCACCCCAATGCTCTAGAAACTGGAAGAAAGATCAGACATTACGATGTTTTAAACTTCCAAGGAATACTAAAGACAAATCAAGAACTTAGAGAGCAAGGGATGAAAATAGAGTGGTGGTCATATTTGCAACTTAAAATGAATACAAAAAAGACATAAAAGAATTTGGAATTGAGGTAAAGCCGAACCAGCTGGATAAAATATTAGAGGAAAAATTAATTTCCAAAATGTATAATTACCTATTAGAATTCAAAATGGCAGAAGAAATAGTTAAGGGCCCAATGATTGCATGGGCAAGGAATGTAGGGCACAACATCAACCTGGAAGACTGGGAAAAAATCTGGAAACAAAATTATAAAGTAACAAAATTGGCAGTCTATAAAGAGAATCAATACAAATGTGTTACCGGTGTACCTGGCTAATATGTACCCAAACCTAAGTCCGCTTTGCTGGAAACGTAAGCAAAGAAGGAGTACCTTCTTCCACGCTTGGTAGCTTTGACCAAAAAGTAAAAAATACTGAAAAAAATCAGAATTTGGATAAAAGAAATCACAAATATTCAACTAGAATTTAAGGCCAAAATGTTTTTATTGGGAATGATAAAAGGTGATCATGAAAAAGAAATAAAATATTTAATTCTTCATATAATCACAGCAGCAACAATTGCACAATGCTGGAAGGGTAACCAAATGCCAACAAACAACTTAATAATCAGAAAGGTTCTGGACTGTGCAGAAATGGACGTACTTACCCAAAAGCTAAAGGATGAGGTAGACTCAAAATATAGTACAGTTTGGGAAAAATGGTACAATTGGGTTAAGGATAAATACCAGGGAATAAAAAGATAAGGAATGTTAAAAATAAAGTGGTTAGATTAAGAGTATTTACCAGAAACAGGAAATGAATATTAGAAAAATTGTTTTTGATTAGAAATATATATGTTTGATGTTTATTTGATTTGTTTTTCACATTGATTTCGTTTGCAACGAAATGTCTTATATTATGCATTGTATATACTTTTTAAAATCTTTAATAAAATTTATTTTTAAAATTAAAAAAAAATAGATAATGAAGAGCATTGGCATCTGGGACTAATGAAAACGACGACAGTCCCCTGGATTAATTTCTATTTTAACAAATTAACTGGACTTTTTAGCTCTTTCAGGAATAGATTTATCTATATAAAAGCTATTTTTTGAAAAAAGGAAGATGCCTAGGTGGAAATAGTAAAGATTACTTGAAGTGTAGTTCCTTGTTGGTTGGATATCTTTTATATCTCATGTAAACAACTTATGGTAGTTGAGAACCATACTGGGCAATTTGTTGCTAGCTGCAGCCCGTAGTAGAGTGATTAGGGAAATAATTTGTTCTAAATTTGTTCTGAAGTTGTATCATCGTCTATGTTTCAGTATTGCATGATGGACTGCTGGATAGCTGTAATGTCTGGCAGGATTTTGTTTGGGAGATGTTAATTTTGTTTTATTTAATTTTATTTAAATTTTTCTAGTGATTCCCAATTTAATTCAGATTTTGATGTTTTTTTA